TTTGGTTTGTTAGGCCAGGATGTTGGTAACTCGCTGGATTTGGAGGGGAGTGTGACTGCACTCAGACCAAGTGGGGTTTTGAGACCTGTCTGCAGAAAGGCTGCTGCTGTGAAGGGGTCTGTGACATGATGGGGGGTGAAGCTAAGGCTCCGAGGTTACAAGCAGAGGGAGGCAGTGGTGGAGGCTCTCCTCATAAGCCCATATACACCAAGAGTTTTCAGGAAACTCTTCTCCTGCCTCCACCTCAGCCAGGAGCAATGACTGTGGTGCATGCTGTTCACCAAGGATGTGGTGACAGAAGTGTGCCACCTCCCTCTACAGGACCTGTAGCTTCACAACAGCATGAGGACAGTGACACTGTGGCCCTCAGGTTTACCATTCCTCTCAGCTTCTACCCTACTCAATTTTTCCAGATGAGAGCAAGCAACATTGCAAACGTACCCATGCAAGCTGTCAGTTGATACATCCAGGGAATGGTGAAGCACTGTGTATTCAGGGAAAGGAGGGTTCTCATTTTCTATATACAGAGATGCAAGAAGACACGTGGCTTTACTAAAATAGCAGGATCCGCAATGGTGCAGGGAGTTGTTGACTGTACCTGCCTTTTTGTAAATTTTTTAATGGGATGTGGGCAAGCATTTATTGCCGGTCCCTCGTTGCCCTTGAGAAGGTGGTAGTGAGCTGCCTTCTTGAACAGCTGCAGTCCATGTGTTGTTGGTATATTCACAATGCCCTTAGGGAGGGAATTCCAGGATTTTGATCTGGTGGCGCTGATGGAATGGCAATATATTTCCAAGTCAGGATGGTGAGTGACATAAAAGGGAAATTGCAGGTGGTGGCGTTCCCTTGTATCTGCTTCCCTTGTCCTTCTAGATAGAAGTGGTCATACTGCAGTCATAATGTTGGTGAATGTCTGCATGAATCTTCTAGGAGGTAAACACTGCTGCTACCATGGTGGAGATTGGCACCACATCCACAAATGTTCACAATCAAGTGGGCTGCTTTGCCCTGGATGGTGTCAAGTGTTCTTGGATGGACTCATCCAGGCAAGTAGGGAGTATTCCATCACACTCCTGACTTGTGCCTTGTGGGTGGTTGACAGGCTTTGGGGAATCGGGATGAGTTACTCACTGCAAGATTCCTAGCCTTTGACCCCTCTGCAGCCCCGTATGTAAATCAGGAGAGCTACAGGAATTGCAAAGGATTCTATCAAATGAAGTGCAGTTGGTGTGCAACAGTGTCCAAGCCATCATGTGCACGAATGTATGCCATCCTGGTATCAGTCACGACACCAACTCTGGGAACTGTATTGCTGTATCCACCACAAAGACCCAGTGGCTAGCTGCTTGGTGAGACCGATGTCGCGAGAGATGGTAGTGACTTTGTGGCAGTGTCATTGCACTAGTAACCTAGAGGTCCAGACTAATGCTCTGGGTCATGGGTTCAAAACATAATGTGGTAGTTAGCGTAATTTTGCAGGTCAGATGGGCTAAACAGTAGAGAATGGAATTTAATCCTGAAAATTGAGAGGCGACACGTTTTGGGAGATCTAACTATCCAATGGAGTATATGTTGAATGATAGAACCCTAGAGGTTACATAGGATCAGAGGGATTTTGGTGCACATGTTCATAGGTTTGAAGGCAGCAGGACAAGTTGGATAAGGTGGTCAAGAAGTCATATGAGCCGGTCGTTGCCACCAAGCGAAGGAGAGATCACAGGAAGGAGATATCTAAGGCCTCTTCACTCTTGATGAGCTTGTCTGTGACCACTTACTGAGACCTGGGTTCCTAGAAGATGCCATACCTTCACCATCATTGCTCAACAATTCCCTATTTTCCCATTCATCGGCATCGCCCCAACACAGCATCCCCTTGGCCAAAGTCCTGCAGTAAAAACCGTGGATAATAATTCCTTCAGTAGCAACTTTATCAAACAACATATCCAGAGATACAAAAAAAAGTTCCGCAAAAGTTTCGTCTTGCAGTTGTCTCTGCTCCATCACAGCTGTAGCCCGCCCAGCCTGCTGACTTTAAGCTGCTGTGGCTACTGAGAGTCTGGCTTCAGTCTGCACCACTTTGTGCTGAGTTCTCTACTATCCTGTGAGGTATGCACAGTGCCAGGATCTGAGCTGATGGATGAGAGCATAAGAACAAACAAAAGTGCTTCTACCTCCGAGGTCTGTGGTCATTCTTGTCCTTCCTTATGAGACTGTATTGGCTTGTTAGCTTGCATTCCTCAGAATTCTGAAATCCAAAGAAGATCAGAAAGGGAGAGTGAGGGAAATTGTCTGGGTTGGGAAGCAAGAGGTTCTTGGCCTTACGATCTGCAGCTTGTAAAAAAGCTATTGGAGTCACTGAGATCTGTAGCACAGAGAAAGGCCCTTTGATCCATCGTGTCCATGCTATCAAAAACAACCACCTGACTATTCTAGTCCCAATTTCCTTGTAAGCCTTGTCTATAGGGTGAGGTGGAATTTGTGAATGGTCAACAGAAGGAATTTACTGGCGTCCTGAATGTTGCCAAACTCAGCAGCCTTGGTGACAGCTATCCTCATCATGCAGAGCACCATCACCCCCTCTTAAGTTATACAGGCTTGTCTGTAAGCTGTGAGACTTTGGTGTGAGGCTGGCATCATTAGTGAGTGTGTAATGGTGCGGTCAAGCATCTGAATGTTAAGCCTGAGTTCTGGCTGCGAAGGACTCTTGCTGGGTGAGTGATGGGAGCATTGAGCAACACGAAAAGTTGATGGACCAGTGGGTAAGGAGGTGGATTTGCTGACCTTGACCATTCGCATGAAATCCTTGATCAGCCCCATGGCCAGGTCCTTAACAAGTTGACCGCCTGTTCCCTTTGGAGGCTATTCCTGCAGATACATGGTCTCTCTCCTTTGATCTCCTAAAGGAGCAGCCTGGCTGGAGCAGAAGCTCACTGCTCACACAGCCACCAGCATGGGTCCTTCTCAACTGAGCCTGCAGTCACTCAAATGAAGAGTACACACTAAGTGTTATGATGAAAGCTATCTGTATAAAGTAATTTAATTTTTTTGTAGAGTTTGGATTTTACACTAGTGACAGATGGGTATTGGTTTGCTTATGTGTAGGAGTTTAAAAGTTAATTAGATCAGTCTTTCTGGAGCTTCATGCCAATATGTGTTAGGGAACAAGAGCGCCTGGAATGCTAATAGGATTTTGTTTATACAATGGGGATTTACAAAGGGGGAGAGAGAGAACATTTAAGTCATTAGGTGTAGCAAAATCTAATCAGAAAGTTGCTTTTTAACATAGTTCAACAGCTTCAGAGCAGTTTGCAGGAAGCCTGAAGGTCACAAGCAAGCATAGTCTCCTTTTTTAAAAAAAATATTGTTCAGAGCAGTTGAGGGAATAAGTTATCTTTGTGAAAAGATGTGATTTATGAATTTACCAGACCAGGAATGTTTGATTAGATGGTGTGGGGAGGAGATTGTATTTTGATCCATTTTTGTTTTGAAGTCTTTCAGTCTGTGTTATATTTAGCTAGCTTTTGTTTGTTTTATTTTGTTTTACTTTATTTTGTGAAATTCTGTTTTATTGTTAAATCCAAGTCTGCAGTCTGATGTGCTTATCTTTCAGTGAAAGACCACCATGATAGATAAAACTGAACAAAAACTATGATCTGTTGAGCTAGATTTCATCAAAAAAGCGAAAAGTACTGCGATGCTGGAAATCTGAAACAAAAACAGAAAATCTCAGTAGGATTGGCAGCATGGTCATAGAGTCATACAGCACGGAAACAGACCCTTCAGTCCAACCAGTCCATGCCAACCATGTTCCTAAACTAAACTTGTCCCACCTGCCTGCGCTTGGCTCCAAACCTTTCTTACACATTACTTATGTGGAGACTTAACGTTTTGGGACCAATGACTCTTCTTCAAAACTTCTGAAGAGCTGCTGAGGTTTTCCAGCAATTTCTGTTTCTGTTTGAGCTAGATTTCATACTTGGATCGAGTTGCCCAGTAATGACCTCAGCCAGGATCGGAACGGTATGCATGCTGCTTGCATCATTGTGATCCAGTGCGAACTGATCATGAATAATGCCCTCAACATTCAAAACTGGGAACGGTCTAGTTTGTGGTGTCTGGAAAAGAATAGGAAAGGAGGGAGGCACAGAAAAAGGAAAGGTCTTTAAGTAAATTGTAAGAACGTCTGGGAAATGATATGGTTAACAAAGTGTGGAGCTGGCGCAACACAGCAGGCCAGGCAGCATCAGAGGAGCAAGAAAGCTGACGTTTCGGGTTGGGTTCTGAAGAAGGGTCCTGCGCGAAATATTACCTTTCCTGCTCCTCTGAACGCTGACGCTGCCTGGCCTGCTGTGTTCCTCCAGCTCTACACTGTGTTATCTCTGACTCCAGCATCAGCAGTTCTTGCTACATCAGGGAAATGATATGGTCAGGTTATTACCACCTTGGCAATCTCAACATGGTCTAGGTGCAAAACTAAATTAGATGAACCTGGTAATTTGTGTGTTGATACAAGAAATAAATTATCTGGAACGTTAGACGATTTCGGATTGTTCTAAGAACCCAGCTGGTTAACTTGGTGTCCTTTGACCAGTTCAGGCCAACATGTGCCACCACTGGATGGTGTGACCCCCTCAATGTTTTCTGACAAGGTCAAGCTGCCAAATCCGTTATAAGAACAACTGTTCACAAAGATACCCCACTATTCGTTGCTTGGAGCAACTTAGAATGGATTACAAATTGCCCTCCTCATCTTATGAAGAGCAACATTGAAGTGTCATTAGAAATTAATGATTGAAATGTGGGTGCAGAGATGGGAAGTTTGGAAACAGCATTCAGGTGGGCCAAAAAAAAGCTTGCTGTGTCTTCTGCATTGCATAGCACCAACAAATGGAAACCATGTGATACTCACGATAAATCAATGTTAATCATTTACAGAAGTGCAATGTGTACTTGTGAATTAAGAAGCCTTGTACTTTTCTTCCTCAAACTACTAACTCTAGCATCAGGTGATGTCCTATTGCATTCCTACCTAAGTGGTCAGCCTGTGGAGGAATCAAAAATCAGCATGCTGGCTTGTTTCCTGGTCTACCATTCAGTGCCTACACTTCAACAGATAGCAGCTACAGGAATTGAAGGTAAGCCTCGAACTCGAGTCTGATTTGGAATGTGATGCTTGAAGGGGTGGCAAAAGAAATTCAACAGGAACATTCAGAAAGGAGTTGGATGAATAATTGAAAAGAAAATATCTCCAGATCTGTTAGGGCGGGTGTACAAATATGATGGAGTGGAACTAATTGGAATTCTGTTTTAAATAATCAGAAGCACGATTTTTTTTTTGGCTGTATTTTTCTCTGACTTCTTTCCAGGCTGTAAGATAAGAATCAGGTGATGAAAGCTTGAGGAATTATTAAGAAACCATGTGTGCAGATTAAAAATAGGAAAGTATTGTAATTCAGCATTACATCTGCCGACACCTGGAGAGTGAGAGACAGAGAGTTCTACATCATCGTTTAAATTCTTGAAGGGTTTCAAAAATAACTGACAACTGCTAATGGTCGGTAGGTTAATAACCAGAAGGGGCACATATAACTTGATTGACACCAAGATCAAAGGCAACTTGAAAACCATTTTAACGCAGTGAATCGTTAAGTTTTGGAAGATACTGTCCAACAGGATAGTAGATCCAGATTCAATCATAGCCCTTTCAAAAGAAGTGGATGAATATTTGGATTAAAATAAAGGAAGAAATAACAGGAGTCAGACTAAATGGATTGCACTTCAAAAAACTGGTGCAGATTTGACTGTTCTAAGGTTCTATGGTTTCAGGTGGTTACGATTTTATCAGAATTCTGGAACTAATTTAAAGACTCCTGAGGGTCTCCACTCGAGCATTAACTGGCCTTCTCTTTTCAGATGGTCATTAACCTGCACCTTTTTATTGACTTATTACCTGGGAGACTTAATTCAAGAAAAATACGAGAATGGCTTTCTTTAAATGTAAAACACCAATTACATTTTGCACACTAAACTTGGAGTTGCATACGTACCAGCCCTTTGTGAAGTGTCTGTCAATGTGATGTGGCCTTTGTGTTTGAGAATCAGTGTTTGGATCAGTTCCCAGGGATCATTCCATTGAATCAGCATTTTCTGCTTCAAAATGGAGACTAGGGAGTACTCACTGCTGTGACATTGACTGTTTCCTGTCTGTTCCTGAACAATGAACTCCATATTTTTAGAGAGGCCACTTCTGTATATCTGATCAATTCTGTTTTACATGAATCCCTTCATCCACATTATTTGTCTATTAGCCAATCAAATTAACTGGTAATTTCTTGCTGCTTGTGGGATCTTGCTGTGTGATAATTGGCTGTGATTTTCTTTTGTATGACACAATTTTAGAAATACTTTGGTTTTGAAATCCCCTGAGATTATGTAAGGTACATTAAAAATCAATTTGATTGCTTACGAACAATTGACATTAGGTTTCAGATGACCATTCTCGTCATTGTCAAAAATAATGTTCGGAAAATATAAGTTTCTATTAATACAGCAGCATTGCATTATTGGGACATTTCAAATTGATTTGAAACCAACTAACTTCAGAGTCAAGTCATTATTATGTAGGAAAGTTGTGCAGCTAATTGCATACAACAAGGTCCTACAAACAGCAAATAAAATTTGCAGTTAGTCACTCATTCATTGACGATGGCTACTGAGGAAGAACTGTTGACCAGTTCACTGAGACACCTCCATGCTCCTCAGATAGCTCCTGGAACATTTCGGGTTCAGTTTATCAATGAACAGATCAAGCTTTGATTGGATACCACATCAGTGTTTAGGTAGCAGAGTCTTTGTACTTAGAGACATCTAGAAATTGCTGCCTTTCCCGTTTTCACACACGCTATACTTGTGTTTTATTCTTTAGGTACTGCAAGCTTCTCCGAACTCCTGCTGAAATTCAGCCAACTGCATTTGCCAGTGCAGACTCTGCTGAGATTAGCTCCAGTGATTCTCGGCAGGCCCCAAGCAATGTTGGTTTGATGGTCACTGGGGTTTATTACAACTCTAGACCCAGTCAGATCATCAGTGTCTCTTTATTGTCCAGTTATGGCGTTGTTTCTGCATCATTTAAAACATTTTTTTAAAGTATCTTAGGGTTGTTATTATTGGAAAGCATGTTAGCAAACTGTTAATACCACCAGTAATTGCTGTGCATTGCCAACTGGATTTAGATGTGCATATGTTAACTGAAGAGGAACTCACTTTGTGAATAAAAACATCTACTTTTGCAGTTGGTTGTGATGTTTTATTTTGGTATAAAATTTGCATTGCAAGCATGCAAAGAGGGCGGACACAAAAAAAACCAGCTTGTCTGTCACAATAAGCATAATTTAAACAGTGTTGACCAAAAACAGAAGTTGCTGGAAAAGCTCAGCAGGTCTGGCAGCATCTGTGAAGAAAAAAAAAGAGCTAACATTTCAGATCCGGTGACCCTTCCTCAGAGTGTCGACCACTTTGTCCCACCATCATTCAGCTGTTTTAGTGCACAGCAGGATGATATATCTGCAACTGCTGAAAGCAAACAATTCAGGGACTTCTACCAATGACAGTAATATCCCCAAAGGTCCACTTATCTTTTCAAACTGTGGCTGTTATCACAAAGTAGAAACCTATTGCCAGAGTTGTCGTTTGTTCTGTAACTTGATGACTCTATGAAAAGCATATCTTCTGTCAGCTGGTTCTACGTTTCTCTAACTTATCCATATGTTCATGCTCCATATTCTAACTCAAAATGACCTGAGCATTTTGCCAAAAGTTCATTAATCTGAAATTGTTAAGTCTGTTTAGGCATTCAAGGGGCATTGGTGATGATTTAGACAGAAATACTGTGCAAGGGTCTGGGGAAAAGGCAGGACATTGGCACTAGGTAATAGAATCAGTGAGGGCATGATGGGCTGAATGGCCTTTTCTGTGGCATAGCCACTCTGTTCTCTCTCCACAGAGTCTGCCTGATCAGCAGAGGATTTTTCAGCACTGTTATAATTGCAGATTTCCCCCATTTGTTAATTTTGTTTTTGTCAAAACTGCCCATCTGGACTGAACCTCTAAGCCTTTTATTATTTTAAAGAGTGTTGTTAAAATTCCCTAAATCGTGATTTTTCTGGAGTAAAATGATTCTCTGGCATGGCTTTCAAATTAGGTATCAAAGATCAGGAGGACTCTGAAGTCTCCCTTTGTTTCTTAACCACAACCAATTCCTTATCCCTGACCCCTCTGCCAGTTCTCCAAGTCTCTCTCTCTGTCTCTCTTCTTTTCCCCCCTCTAAAACCCAAACTCCCCAGCTTCACTTTCTTCCCCCATCTCCAGCCCATTATCTTCCTCTCTTTCCTGAGTCTCTATTTATTTACCTTCATCCCCATCACCTGACCTTCCTTTCTTCTTCCCAAGCCCTGCTTCTGTTCCAGTCCTCCTCTTTCAAAGTCCTTGTCACCCTCTGGCATCTGTGGCAGATGCCAATCAGCTGATTCCTCATTATCCTGTCTTACCTGCCCCACCCCAAAATCTCCATTCCCCATGAACTTTCCTTCCAGCTTGATGTCACCTACGCTCCTTCTGTTTTTCTGCCAGACGCCCCCCATTTCAGGAGGTCATGCCTCTCTGCTGGACATGACTTCATTAACCCCTCAGAGGTCACACAAATCTTTTTCTCGCACAAACTGGTGTTTCCCTGACACCTTTATTGCAATCTGGATTAATACGATGAAGAGTGTAGGCTCTGACATCCATTCCACTGTTCCCTGTGTTAAGTTGCTTCCATTAGTAACTGTCTTCTGCCTATCAGAATTAATTCCTTATCCAACCCAAAATATGTACATTTATCCCACAAGTTCTGTTGTGTGACTTTGTCAACACCCTTTTGAAAATCAAGGTGTACAATATAAACCAGGTTACCTAAATCCACAAACCTTGAAGCTACCACAAAGTGCGAAATCTGTTGGATTAGCTCTGACCCTTAATATATGTAGAGAGTCACTAACAACTTGTCAGAGTGATCATACCAATTCATGATGCATGACTGAGTTGGGGTCTGCTTTTTGGAATGATGTTGAATTGAATGCTGTCAGAACCAGAGGTTTGTTCTAACCAGGGTTACCTTTCCATTGATTAGGCCATTTTGAATGTAAATGTCAACAGTGCAAAGTATTGCTGGTAATTCAGCATTGTCTTCTGTCATGAAGATGGTTTAAAAAATGGCCATTTTATACCTTTAGCCATGAATCTACCACTATTCCTCGTGGTTTTCTTCAGTAACAATTTACAGCCCTGAATGGCATGTTGACTCAACATAATTCAAAATAATCCTACTGTTATCACATCTCTCCATTCACTACCTTCACCTTGTGGTTGTTTTGATATCAACTTTCATTTCCCTTTAGCTGAAATCGATACCCATCTCTGTTATCTTTAGGTCTACATAATCGTTTTTGCTTGATTCTAATTTGTCCTTGCATATGACCCATTAGCCATGGGTTTTACTTTCAAGGCTTAGATGTTAGTCATGGCTCAGTGGTCATGCTTTTGCTTCTGAGTCAGAGCATTGTGGGTTCAAATCCCACATTAGAAACCGACATGTCATGAGTTGACACTTACTGAGAAAGTACTATTTTTTAAATGAGACATTAAACCAAGGTCCTATTTTCCTTCTTAACTAAGTACAAAAGTCTACACTTTGAAGACAAGTTTGAATTCCTGCTAGTCTTCTCGCTCAGTCACACCACTAAAATATCATCTGGCTTGCTGTGCCAAATTCATCTAGAATCCCTATAGCATGGCCCATCAAGTCCATACCAATCCACTCACCTAGACACCCCACCCCCTACCTGTAACCCTGTATTTTTCCCATGGCTAATCCACCTAGCCTGCACATCCCCGGACACTGTGGGCAATTTAGCGTGGCCAATCCATCTAACCTGCATATCTTTGGACTGTAGGAGGAAATCCACACAGACATGGGGAGAATGTGCAAACTCTACACAGTCACCCAAGGATGGAATCGATCCCAGGTCCTTAGCACCATAAGGCAGCAGTGCTAACCACTGAGCCACTGTGCTGCCCCAGATTGGCAAAATTAGCACTTGATTGATTGTGAAATGCTCCGGGATGCTGTCTCCAATACAAGTGTTATTTTTAAGCCTATAAACAAAGGTAAATTGGTAGATCGTAAAGCAAGTAATTACGGTAAGTGGATGTGATCCACTGAAATCCTGGCTGACGAAGAGAAATGTTTGAGATCTGAGCGCAGATTGTCTGCCTGTTCTCTATCAGGGTGACACTTAAACAATGACCAAAATAACTGGTGTGTGCAGTAAACAACATATCACATGTTCTACTAATGTTATTGTAGGGTCACGCAGTTGTAAATTTTAAAAAGAGTACTGTAAATGTTTTGTACAAATTTGAACTTGAGCTTTTTTTTTGTTAACCTGCCAATCTTTCATGCTTCACCAATCGGTGTAAACATGACAGGCCCTGCCGATTATGTGAAGAAGCAATCAGCTCTCTGGGTTGACATACAGCAAACCAGTCAGAAAATACCTCCCTGTAAATGATTCCTGAGTAAATACAGCTTGTGAGGAAATGCAGCAGTTGTGCTGTGCAAAAGAGATTATGGGTGGTACTTCAGAAGAGTTTGTGTCATATCCTCTTCATGTCTCCAAGGTCCTTAACATCAAATTGGATTTTTAAAGCAGAGTCAATGATGGAAGCAAACAGAAAGAGGAATTTGCTAGATTTAAGAAAAGACCAAGGTCCTCCTAGTTTTGCTTCTCATATCCTGGTAGTCAAATGATGCAATGTTCATAGCACTGTGGACTTTCATTATCAACCTCCAGCAATTGGACTGTACAGAGCCCAGACCGGAAGTAAGGAAAACATAGTCCTGGCTTGGAAATATATCACCATTGCTTCGTCTTTTGGTCAAAATTCTGGAACTCTGTATCTAAAGCACTGTTAGAATAGCATCAGTACACAACTACTTTGGTATAGGCAAGCAGTCCAGCACCACTACCTCGGGAACAGTTAAAGAACATGAATTGAGAGCAGGAGTAGGCCCTTCGAACTTCAACATTCAATAAGATCGTGGCTGATCTAACTACTCCACGTTCCCCCTGCCTCTATAATCTTTCAACTACTTCTTTATCGAAAATCTGCATACCTCCATTTTAAAAAGATTGAAAGACTCTGCTTTTACTGCCTTTTGAGAAAGAGTTACATATACTCTCAACCCTCACTACTCACTTTTGTGACCCAAAAATGAGGTCCACAGGAATTAGAGATCTGTCAGCTCACAGCTCCAACATTTTAGTGATTATAAATTGGTTGAGTGTTACCCTCCCTGCCATTACCGGATTTACAGATGAGCTACTTATTCTTGTTTCTTGTTTCCTCTATAGTTAAGACCAATGCCAAATATCTGTTCACTTCATCTACCGCTCCTCATTCTCCATCATTGTTAGAGAGGTGACATTAATGTTAACCTCACCAGTGATTCCCATGTTCCATAAACAAATAAAAATAAACATTTTAACATCATTCCTTCCAGTTAAGTTACAGTCGCAAGCTGCTTTTATTTTCTGTCTCCATGAGAAGCATTTCTGAATTTCTTGACATTGAAAGTCATCTGTTACACGCCTCTGCCATTCCAAAATTCTCTAGTAGTTTTTTTTAAATCTTTGGAATCAATCACCTTAACTTGCTTATATCATCTTTAAATTTAGGCACTGTTTGTGACTCCTGGTACCAGATCCCTTATGAAAGTACTACACACAGAATTTGCAAAACAGTCCCCTCTCTGATAGTATTTTCACTGTCTGATGAAAATCCCTATCGCACCGTCATTTAGATTCTATAGATTAGCCAAACATGAATCCATTGTAAAATATTGCCACTTCCAGTCACTTTATTTTTAGTACCCCAGTATTGAGCAGAACTATTAAGAGCCTTATTGAAATCTATGTATGCCACATCCACAGCCTTACACAATCATATTGCTTTGTCTCACACTCAAAAGTTGCAAGTAACTTAGATTGACAATGTAAAAACCGAAAGAACTGCGGATGCTGTAAATCAGCAACAAAAATTGAATTTGCTGGAATAGCTCAGCAGGTCTGACAGCATCTGTGGAAAAAGAAAACAGAGTTAACGTTTCGGCTCCTGTGACACTTCCTCAGAACTAACCTGCTGAGCATTTCCAGCAACTTCTGTAGATTGACAATGTGGTATTTTCCTCAA